GGAGTAGCTTAGGTGGTCTTGGCCACCCATTTGGTTTGTTGTATGCAGGCGGCATGCTCAGTACCCTGACTTTCCTTCCCACATCCTGTTTTGTTTTGTTTTCTCACTCCGTGCTCTAGCGGTAAAGAACCTGCCTGCCAATACAGGAGACATAAGAGACATAGGTTTGATCCCTTGGGCAGGGAAGATCCCCTGGAGGCGGGCACGGCAACCCTGTCCACTGTTCTTGCCTGGAGAATCTCAAGGACAGAGGAACCTGGTGGGCTGTGGTCCATAGGGACACAAAGAGTCGGACACGACAGAACTGACTTAGAACACAGCACACTTCAGAAGTGGCAACTGGGTATTTTTGGTCTTTTCCTACCTTTCTGTCCATGTTGCTATTTAGTTGCTCAGTCGTGACCGACTCTTTCCAACCCCATGGAGCACAGCACGCCAGGCTTCCCTGTCCTTCACCATGTCCTGAAGTTTTGGTCCATGATTTGTCTCAATTGCACATGCACACAGTTATTTTTAGTCCCTTAAAATCTGGTCCTCAAAGTAGCACCATTGGCATTACTTGAGAATTCTTAGGCTACACACAAGACTGCTTTTTTAAACAATATTTATTTTACTTATTTATTTTTGGCTATGTAAAGCTTTAATTGTGGCCCTTGGACTCTTTGTCCACACACAGGCGCCTATCTAGCTGCTGTGACCCCTTGGCATGTGGGATCTTATTTCCCTGACCAGGGATCGAGCTCTTGTCCGCTGTATTGGAAGGCAGATTCGCAAACACTGGACCACCAGGGAAGTCTCAAAGAGATGCTTGGAATCCCAGAACAAGTACCTTCAGAATTTGTGGTTTGGGCTGAAAGAGCAATTATAACAGACTAATTTCTACAACAGTGTTGTGGGGAAGAGCCAATTCTGACTCTATGTTGGGTTTGTTTCTTTGGCTTTAATCTTTGCTTGTGATTGCTCTTGTTATTATTATCACACTTAATAGCCTACCTTGGGGAACCCTGCCCCTGTATCTGACTATTAAACTGAAGTGCCTTTGTTCAGCTCACAGAGAGACTCTCAAGAGAGACTCAAGAGACAGACTCAGGGTGACCTAGCTTACCTTGAGAAAAGAAGAAATTAACACATCCCCCCCCTCCATTTGGCAAGATTAATGACCTTTTTAGTTTACTTTCCCTCTCCCCTCCCTCTCTGTCCTATAAAAGAACGTGGCATCCAGACCCCTTAAGATGGTTATTTTGAGACATTAGTCTGCCATCTTCTTGGTCTGCTGGCTTTCTGAATAAACTCACATTCCCTGCCTCAACATCTCCTCTCCGATGTTGTGGGCGTGTTCTATGGCACACAGAGTGAGCCTGGGCTCAGTAGAAACAGCAGCCAGTTCCTCCTCTCCCCTCTCCCGCACCCTGCGAACCCTTTTCAAATGAGATCGTTGGCACTCTTTTCGGACCCCTTCACCTGAAGTCAGCTGACTGATAAATGGAAAGCCAACCTTTCTCTCTGCAGATAGCAATCCCCCTACAGCCTGAGGAGCGTGACGCTTAGCTTCCCTCTCTCCTTGTCTGGTATTGTGAGGTCTTCTTTACTGAGTGTCGTGATGTCTCCTCTCCCTACTGCAGGGTCACCAAGCCCCTCTTCCCTTGCTGACTTCAGGGCCTTTCTGGGGGCGATGCTTTAGCTGGTGCTCAACTATAGGAAGTGGAGCTCTTATTCTGATGTGTTAAGAAAGCTGTGGTGTGCTGCTAAGGACCGTGGTGGTCCCAAGTCTTAAACTGGTATCATTCTCTTTCCTTCTGTTTTCCTTCAAGCAGGCCCTCTTCCTCTGGCAGTGTTGGGACGGTCTTCCCAGAGAGACTCAGAGAAAAATCATCTGGTGGCCTCACCAGTGAGACTCTCACAAGACCCTACTTAGTCACGTTACAGAGGGTTCAAATATCTTGAAATGATGTGCTGCTGTCAGGTGAGACCCCAGTCTCCTCCCTACACAGAGCCTCCCCGACTCTGTCCCTGGTAGTCCAAGCTCCTCTCTCTGGTCCAAGTGCACACAGCCCCTCTTCTCCCCATGCTGCTCTCATGGACCATGTAGATTAAGCTTCCACAACCAGACAGAGAGTCTCTTTGTTATATGTGGACTGGAGGACGGGGATTAAGAAAGCTCAGCTTTCAACAATATCAACTAAAAAGTGTCACTTGCTATCTGGTTCTAAAGGATGGTCGTTAGCCATCGTAGTTGCTGACCTTCAACACACCCCTTGAAAAGATTTCAGGGTGGAGATCAAGAATGAGGCACTCATGCTCTAGGAAAGCGGGCAGAACAGGTCTTCAGAGAGTTAGACATTTTCAGGGGAAACTTTCATGAATCCCAATTCTTGCATCTTTCCATACTTAGAAAAGCACTAAAATCATTCACCGTGGTATCTGTCCATCATGCCTAACAGTTATCTACCAAGAAGTATGCTTGGTCGCAAGTACCCCTGCTCTAAAATCACATACATGCTGGCCTCCCCCTTTAGCTTCTCATTTTTTAAAACTTTTTATTTTGGCTTGGAGTATAATTGATTGGACTGCAAGGAGATCAAACCAGTCAATCTTAAAGGAAATCAGTCCTGCATATTCATTGGAAGAACTGATGCTGAAGCTGAAACTCCAATACTTTGGCCACCTCATGCGAAGAACTGTCTCACTAGAAAAGACCCTGATGCTGGGAAAGATTGAAGGCAGGAGGAGAAGGGGACGACAGAGGATGAGATGGTTGGATGGCATCACCGACTCAATGGACACGAGTATGAGTAAGCGCCAGGAGGTGGTGATGGACAGGGAGGCCTGGAGTGCTGCGGTCCATGGGGTCACAAAGAGTCGGACACAACTGAGCAACTGAACTGAACTGATTATGTTAGTTTCAGATTTACAACAAAATGATTCAGTTATACATACACATGTGTCTATTCTTTATCAAATTCTTTTCCCAGTTAGAGTGTTACATAACTGAGCAGAGTTCCCTGTGCCGTACAGTAGGTCCTTGTTGGTTATCCATTTTAAATATAGCAGTGTGTACCTGCCAGTCCCAAATTCCCTAACTATCCCTCTCCCCTCCCCTCCCCACAGTAATCATAAACTCTTTCTCTAAGCCTGTGAGTCTGTTTCTGCTTTATAAATAAGTTCATCTGTATCATTTCACCCACGCCAATCTCCTTACCTCTTTGGAGGAATTCCTCAGAGTTATCTGAAGGGCTGTCTCACAGGCTAGTCCTCAGCAAACCCCACAATAAATCTGAAACCCACAGCTTTCACTTTGTGCATTTTTATTGATATTTCAGTCAACAGGAACAATTTTTTCTTGGCTGAGTTGGGTCTCCTTCGTAATGTGTGGGCTCTTCCTGATGTCTGGACTCTTCATTGGGGGCATACAGGCTTTCTCTAGCTGTAGCATGAAGGCTTAGCTGCCTCTTAGCATGTGGGATCATAGTTCCCTGACCAGGCATCAAACTCATGGCCCCTGCATTGGAAGGCGGACTCTTAATCACATGACCACCAGGAAAGTCTTGACAGAAACAACATAGTATCTCTTTCCTGGGACAGTGTTGCCGAAACTCAGCCTCGGTGCCAACAGTGCCAACAGAAACCCAGTGCCCAACAGAAACGTGCAGACAGAGTTCTGAGTGAAGTGGAAAAGAGCAGCTTTCACCGCTTGACCAGACTAAGGAGGCCAGAGTGGGCTAATGCCTTGAAGACCACGTGGCCCATGCTGGACAGGGTAGAGAAGGGTTTTATCATGTTCAGGGAGCAGGGTGTGATGAGCGTGGACAGTTTTTGGATTAGTTGTAATCAAAGTGAAGCTTCAGGCATCATCAACTTTCTGGTTTCAACCAGTCTAGGATCTTTGTTCTCGTGGTCAGCAGTTTTCATTTGGAGAGGGTCTTCTTCCTGTAAAAACTGCTTAGGGATGTGTGTCAGGCCTTTATCTGTACCTTTCAGAGAACTGTGAGTTCAGTGATTCTGTTATGTGGCAGAATTTTATTCTCAATTGTTACCCATTCCCTAACCCAACAGCTATTCTTTGTTTCTTCATCTTCACATTTTCCAATCATTAACTCTTGAGTCGGCATTTTACTTCAAAAGACAAGGACACAGGGGTTTGCACAGTTCCAGTAGGTGTTGCAAAAAAGGATACTGATACCAGTTAGTCTTTCTCTTTTAATTTTCTATGCTGCATTATGTGTGTGTGTGTGTGTGTGTGTGTGTGTGTGAACGGCTTCTCTGGTGGCTCAGTGGTAAGGAATCTGCTTTCAATGCAGGAGACTCAGGGTTGATCCCTGGGTTGGGAAGATCCCCTGGAGAAGGAAATAGTAACCCAATCCAGTATCCTTGCTGGGAAATCCCATGAACAGAGCTACCTGGAGGGCTACAGTCCATGGGGTCACAAAAGAGTCAGGTATGACTTAATGACTAAGCAATAACAACACCTTTATAGATAGATAGAGAAATATATATTGTATTTGTATAATATTTATTTCATGTGATTATAATATAAGGCTTAAGAAATGACCTGAGAGAGGAGGATCTTCAAAGATCTACTTAATGGACAGGTCACTCTCTAGTCAATTAAAAAGTCATAGAAAGCCAGAGGGAAAAAATCATCATAAAACCCACAGAATATTACAACATTTCTGGCAAACTGGAAAGAGTTAATGAGCTAGGAGTTCCAGGAACACCAATGTAGAAAAGCATGCAACTAAGTGTAAATCATGACAAGGATGCTGAAAGTATCCAAGTACCCAGACAGCTGGGGACCTGAGCTGTTTCCTACTGAGGAAACTAAGGAAATTCTGGGAAATATTTGAGCACAGGGACTGAGTCTGTCCTGTGCACCACACATCACTGCTTCCTCCAAGCTCGGGTCATTTCATCGCCCTCCGTTCCACTGCACTCTTTCTCTCCGTTGGCTTCTCCAGCCACATTCTGCACTCGCTCAATGCTCTCTTGCGTTCAGGTCCACTTTACAGAGGCACGAAGTTCCATTGGTTCCAGCCACAGGGCACAAAGATACTCTGCATGTTGGAGCATACCCTTTGCATGATGTGATTGGCCTTGTCGACGTGGGAATACAAGGGGAACCCAAGTTTGTCCAGAGTCTGGACATGGACACAGGAGAGGTAGGAGATGAGCCCCTTGGCCCGGTACTCAGGCAGGGTGCCTGCCATCCGCAGCTCTCCTGTCTGGTCCATCAGCATCCAGGACACAGGGGTCCCCTCGGGCCCCAGCAGGCATGAGCTGGGGAAGGTCTGGATACAGCGCTCGATGAACCTCCGGCTCCTTTCATTGCCACCAAAATACCAGAGTTTATTCACCAAGACAGCATGGGCAGGATCCAGGGTTGAGAGTGTCAACATCTTTTGGTGGCTATTGGGATTGAGAAGAAAGAATAGCCCATAACACTGAAGCCCTTGTGTCCCTGTCCTTTGAAGTCAAAGGCTTTTGCTGTAGCCTCCCAGGCTTCCCCTGAGTCTCAAAAGACTATCTCAAGGGTTCATCATCGGAGGGCTTCCCTGGTGGTTCAGTGGTAAAGAATCCACCTACCAATGCAGGAGATATGGGTTTCAGTCCCTGGCCTGGAAGAGCCTGCGTACATGGAACAGTTAAGCTTATGTGCCACAAATATTGAACCCACACTCTAGAGCTCATGGGCAACTACTGAGTCCACACACCCTAGAGCCACGCTCTGCATTAAGAGAGGCCCCTGCAGTGACGAGTCCGTGTGCTGTAACGACAGAGTAGCCCCCAGGCACCGCACTTAGAGGAAACCCGCACAGCAGCCATGACCCAGCACAGCCAAAAATAAATAATTAATAAAATCTTTTTTTTAAGAGTTAATGGAAAGATCAAATCACGATGGAGGAATAGAAGGACATGTGCTCATCTCCTCCTGCAAGAGTACCAAAATTGCAACTAACTTTTGAACACCATTGACAGGAGGACACTGAAACCCACCAAAAACAGGTTGCCCATGCTGAAGAAGCTGACGCTGAACGATTCTATGAAGACCTACAAGACCTTCTAGAACTAACACCCAAAAAAAGATGTCCTTTTCATTATAGGGGACTGGAATGCAAAAGCAGGAAGTCAAGAGATACCTGGAGTAACAGGCAAATTTGGCCTTGGAGTACAAAATGAAGCAGGGCAAAGGCTAAGAGTTTTGCCAAGAGAATGCACTGGTCATAGCAAACACCCTCTTCCAACAACACAAGAGAAGACTCTACAAATGGATGTCACCAGATGGTCAACACCAAAATCAGATTGATTATATTCTTTTCAGCCAAAGATGGAGAAGCTCTATACAGTCAGCAAAAGCAAGACGGGGAGCTGACTATGGCTCAGACCATGAACTCCTTATTGCCGAATTCAGACTTAAACTGAAGAAAGTGGGGAAGACCAGTAGCCCATTCAGGTATGACCTAAATCAAATCCCTTATGATTATACAGTGGAAGTGAGAAGTAGATTCAAGGGATTAGATCTGATAGACAGAGTGCCTGAAGAACTATGGATGGAGGTTCGTAACACTGTACAGAAGGTGGTGATCAAAACCATCCCCAAGAAAGAGAAATGCAAAAAACTAAAATGGCTGTCTGAGGAGGCCTTACAAATAGCTGAGAAAAGAAGAGAAGCAAAACGCAAAAGAGAAAAGGAAAAATACACCCACCTGGATGCAGAGCTCCAAAGAATAGCAAGGAGAGACTAGAAAACATTCCTCAGTGATCAATGCAAAGAAATAGAGGAAAATAATAGAATGGGAAAGACTATACATCTCTTCAATAAAATTGGAGATACAAAGGGAACACTTCAAGCAAAGATGGGCACAATAAAGTACAGAAACAGCAAGAACCTAACAGAAGCAGAAGAGATTAACAAAAGTTGGCAAGAATACACAGAACTATACAAAAAAGTCTTCGTGACCCAGGTAACCACAAACGTGTGATCGCTCACCTAGAGACAGACATCCAGGAGTATAAAGTCAAGTGGGCCTTAGGAAGCATTACTATGAACAAAGCAAGCAGAAGTGATGGAATTCCATCTGAATTATTTAATATCCTAAAAGATTATGCTGTGAAAGTGCTGCACTCAATATGACAGCAAATCTGGAAAACTCAGCAGTGGCCACAAGACTGGAAAAGGTCAGTTTTCATTCCAATCCCAAAGAAAGACAATGCCAAAGAATGTTCAAACTACCACACAATTGTACTCATCTCACAAGCTAGCAAGATAATGCTCAAAATCCTTCAAGCTAGGCTCCAACAGTACATGAACCAAGAACTTCCAGATGTACAGTCTGGATTTAGAAAGGCAGAGAAACCAGAAATCAAATTGTCAACATCTGTTGGATCATAGAAAAAGCAAGAGAATTCCAGAAAAACATCTACATCTGCTTCATTGACTACACTAAAGCCATTGACTGTGTGGATCACAACAAATTGGAAAATTCTTAAGGAGTTCTGAATACCAGACCACCTTACCTGCCTCCTGAGAAATCTGTATGCAGGTCAAGAAGGAACAGTTAGAACCAAACATGGAACAACAGACTGGTTCAAAGTTGGGAAAGGAGTATGTCAAGATTGTATATTCATCCTGCTTATTTAACTTACATGCAGCGTACATCATGTCGAATGCCAGGCTGGATGAAGCACAAGCTGGAATCAAGAGTGACAGGAGAAGTATCAACAACTTCAGATATACAGATGACACCCCTTAATGGCAGAAAGTGAAGAGAAACTAAAAAGCCTCTTGATGAACGTGAAAGAGGAGAGTAAAATCTGGGTTAAAACTCAACTTTAAAAAAACTAAGATTATGGCATCTGGCCCCATCACTTCATGGCAAACAGATGGGGGAAAAGTAGAAAGTGACTGAATTCGTTTTCTTAGGTTCCAAAATCACTGCAGATGGTGACTGCAGCCGTGAAATCAAAAGATGCTTGCTCCTTGGAAGAAAAGTTATGATCAGCCTAGCATATTAAAAAGCAAATTATCAGCATATTAAAAAGCAAAGACATCACTTTGCCAACAAAGATCCACATAATCAAAGCTGTGGTTTTTCCAGTGGTCATGTACACATGTGAGAATTAGATCATAAAGAAGGCTGAGTGTTGAAGAATTGATGCTTTTGAACTGGGTGCTGGAAATGACTCTTGATAGTCCCCTGGACAACAAGGAGATCAAAGCAGTCAATTCTAAAGGACATGAGTCCTGACTATTCATTGGAAGGACTGATGCTGAAGCTGAAGCTCCAATACTTTGGCCACTTGATGTTAAGAGCCAACTCATTGGAAAATACCCTGATGCTGGGAAAGATTGAGGGCAGGAGCTGAAGGGGCCAACAGAGGATGAGATATTTGGATGGCATCACTCGGACATGAATTTAACCAAACTCTGGGAGACAGTGAAGAATGGGGAGTCTGGGGTCCTGTAGTCCATGGGGTAGCAAAGAGTTGGACACCTCTTAATGGTTGAACAGCAACAGGAGCCTGTAGACTCCAGGACTGGCTCACCCCAGGCTAAACAACTAATAGGGAGGAAGCACAGCCCCACCCATCAGCTGATAGTCAGACCGAACTTTTACTGGGAGCCAGAAGATCTAGTTTTTTCCACCACCAGTCCCTCCCATCAGCCTCATCCACCAGAGGGCATGTAAAAGAAGTGATAAGTCAGTCCTGCAGCCTCCAGAACAAAACCACAATCACAGAAAGTCAATCAGAATGAAAAGGGAGAGGATTATCTCTCAGATGAAAGAACAAAATAAAACCCCAGGAAAATAACTAAATGAAGTGGAGATAGGCAGCCTTGCAGAAAAATAATTCAAAATAATGATAGTGCAGATGACCCAGGTTCTTGGGAAAGGGGTGGGAAGTATTTACAAAAGACCTAGAAGAACTAAAGCACAAACAGAGATGAAGAGTACACTGGGAGGAATCAATAGCAGAATAACTGAGGCAGGAGAACAGGTGAATGACTTGGCAGACAGAATGGTGGAAGTCATTGCTATAAAATAGAATACAGAAAAAGAATGAAAAATAAATAAATAAGATAGCCTGAGTCCTCTGGGACAACATTAAACACACCAGCATTTGCATTATAGAGATCCTAGAAGGAGAAGAGAGAGAGAGATAAAGGACCTGAGAAAATATTTGAAGAGATAATAGCTGAAAACTCCTCTAATATGGGAAAAGGAACAGTCAGCCAAGTCCAGGAAGCACAGACTCCCAGGTAGGCTAAACCGAAGGAGGAACACGCTGACACACGCAGTAATCAGACTGACAAAAATCACAGACAAAGATAAAATATTAAAAGCACCAAGGGGAAAAAATGGCAAATAACATACAAGGGAACTCCCATAAAGTTATCAGCTGATTTCTCAGCAGAAACTCTGTAAGCCAGAAGGGAATGGCATGACACATTTAAGTTGGTGAATAGCAATAACCTACAACCGAGAATATGCTACCCAACAAGACTCCCATTCAGATTTGACAAAGAAATCAGAAGCTTTCCAGACAAGCAAACCTTAAGAGAATTCAGCACCACCAAAGCACTACCTTCACAGCAAATGCTAGAGGAACTTCTCTAGGAAGGAAGCCCAGAAGGAAGAGATCTAAACAATTAAGAAAATGACAATAGGACCCTACATATCAATAATCACCTTAAATGTAAATGGACTAAATGCAACAACAAAAAGACATAGACTGGCTAGGTGGATGCAAACATGTGCCTGTATTCACTTCCACTTACCACATCACTCCACTTAACCCCCCAAATGGTATGTAATTATTTTATACTAGTAGCTTAATCATGCTTCCATTATGGCTTGCAATTGTAATTATATTTTTAGTCTGGTTATTACTTGTGAAAACTGATAAACATCTTTTACTACTGTGATTATGTAGCTGGTATTCATTTTAATACCATTGCATCATGATCAGTCAATAGAAAATAACAGATTTCTATATCACTAAAACTTAATAGAAAAACTTGTAATCACTTTTTAAAATCCGGATGCATATTAGAATTATCTTGAATTTTCTTGGACAACACAAATCTGCCCAAAGTTCCAGATGTGATTTTAATGAGCAGCCATGTTTAAAAACAACTGGACTATATGTTTTACTTTTATCTAGTTTGTTTCACTTTTTTCTATTTCATGTTCAGGGCTCCCATTGCATTTAGCTTGTTTTCCAATTTCTCCATCTCTTTTTTTCTTGTTCTTTCTCTAGCCTTTACCCAGTGCAGTAGAAGAGCTTTCATATACTATATATATACATATATATTGAGCACAATGTATATTTTTTTAGAAAACATGAAATTTTGCTTAGCTGAATATTTGACATTTTTGGTTCCTTTTGTTTGACTAAGTATGAAT